GGGCCCCGGGTGCCGCCGCCCCGCAACCAGCCGCGGCTGCTGCTCTCGGGAGGCCCAAAGCAAGCGCCACCCTCGGCACCGCGGCCGGGCGCCCGCAGCACGCACAACGGCGAGAGGAAAACGGTCCTTCCTCAAGAACGGCCCCGTCACAACCAAATACCTACCAGCATCTTCTGCAGCTGGTCAACCGAGTGGTTGCTCACACTCTGCCCATTGATTTCTATGATTTCATCGCCCACGTGAAGGGAGCCTGTCGGTGATGGGAGAAACAAGCCCGTGAAATGCGGGAGCAGGCACCAAACCCAAGCCCACAGGGTTTAGCAGGGATAAGCTCAAATTTCCCACTTGGACCCAAGGCTGGAAAAGGGCCTCGCACTGTAAGTACAGAGCACCTCATTTCCATACCCCCTTTGCACATATCCACACCAGGAAATGGCACCTAATTATTTCTTTTGGCACCTCCCTTGGGTTTTCAGAGCCATTGCAAGCCTGGCCCATCTAGGCACATTAGGGAGGGAAGAGCTTCCCGCCCAGTCTCGGGGACACAACCCATTTGTACAGAGACCCCAGCATGGGGCAGACAACGGGACGTCTCCAGTCCCATTTTTGGAAGTCCCTTCCCTCATCCCCTCATTTCTCCCTAGAAGCCTTCAAAGCATCAACACGACACCCATGCAGAGAGATCCACGAGTCCTGGGTTCCTGCAGTATTCCCAATGTAGGAACAGGGCTGACCATGCGATAGGGAAAAGCCGGCAGTGGCGCGGAGCTGCCTTGTCTCTGTGCGGGAGGAAGCCGGGGTGCACCCGGGACCCTGTCCCTTGCCGTTACCTTGCCGGTGGATCATGCCCCCGTGGAAGATCCTGGCCACCGTGCAGCTCTGCTTGTCGTTCAGCTTCAGCGTGATTCCCTGGAAGACAGGAGAATCCCTGACCACCCGCGCTCCCAGCAAAGTCCTCTTGGCACGAGCACCACCCGCTGACGAGGCTCCCTCCAGATCCCCGGGGAGGAAGCAGCATCCAGGACACTCTTCCCACGTGCAAGTTCTCCAGGGATCTCCAGGCCCCCGAGCCAACACGGCTGTGCCTGCCCTTCCGTCCCCGTTCAGGGGGTCCTGGGGACCTCGGCAGCCCTCACCATGGGCTCCTCCGTGACCTTCTCGAACTGGACGAGCCGAATCTTCCGCACCTCGCGGCCGTTGGCGTGGGAGGGACTGCCCAGCATGGCCGAACCGTTGGTGTAAATGTCCTCGGTCATGGCGTTGAGGGACTGAGTGACCACGGCCTGTGAGGGCAGAACAGAGACCGGCAGTTAAGGGCCCATCGGGCCGGGCAGACGGAGCTCCCAGGTCCCCGCTGTGGTGCTGAGCTACTCCCGTGCTGGTGTCCCTAGAGCTCCAGCGGGGCACAGAGGGCACTAGAAGAGCAGACAGACAGAGGAAGAAAAGGAAAAACGAACTTCACCCATGGACACGTGGGCTTCATCAGCAGTTTTCCAGCTTGGGAAGTTGTGGGAGGTACAAAGGCTTTGGAAAAGTAGAGGAACCTGAAGTCAAAAGAGTTCACGGCTGGTTGTTTTCTGCAGCAACGAGTCCCAAGCAGGATTTAGGAGCCACAGCAGCCCTTGGCCCCAGGGTGGCTCGCTGCAGAGCACGAAGCCCAGGACGGCTTCACCGCATGAACGGAGCAGCTCGGGACTCGCCCGGCGGGAACGGGAGCAGTGCGGGGGCCACGCTCCACTCGGGATCGCTTTGCAAGTTCAGCTTTTCCTTATCCAGGCCAACGGGTGAAGCGACTCGGTCCAGAGCCACGTCCACATCTGGAGACATCCAGGAAGCACCAAGCCAGGAATTCCTTCCACAGGCATCTTTCAAGGAGCATTAGCCAAAGCAGATGGAGATCAGACCCCAAAGCCCCTTGCCAGCTGAGGCCACCAAGAGCCCGCGTGGGGACAGCCACCAAGGTTCCCCTCAGCCACAGTCCTGCCCAGGCGGCCTGGCAGCACCTCCTCCAATCCCAGTCTCCCATCGCATCCCTTGTCCTCTCCCGACTCGGCTGCGACGACCGGGAGCCGCACACCGGGGCCGCGGGCCAAGGCAGCACGTGCCGTTTATTTATTTCTAAGCGACCCGTTTCCGAAAGAGCCAAACTCCGTCCTCCGCAGAGCAAGACGGCAGCGCTCCGGCTGCCAGCGGCTCCAGAGGAGGCGGCTGAACTGCGGCCTGGAGCGATGCCCAGGCCAAGGACGGGGCGGAAGGAGGGGGGACGCGCGGACTCCCCCAGACCCGCTCGTCACCCCAGCGGAGGGACCCATCGTGCCGCACTGGTGCCTGCAGCCACCCCGGCTCTGCTGAGCAAGCAGGAGAGGAGCAGCAGCAGCAGCAGCAGTAGGAGGAGGAGGAGAAGGAGGAGGAGGAGGAGGAGGAAGTCCCGCAGCCTTGCCCTGAGGCCAAAGGGCCCCTGAGGTGACTTGAGTCAGCAGAGCTCCCTTATCGCGCCCTGGGAAGGCACCGCGTGGCCCTGGGCTCAGCAAAGCTCGGCGACCCGGCACGCGGCACCGCCGGCTCCGGCGGCTCCCGCTCGGCCCCGGCCTTTGCGTTTTGCTGAGGAACGGACAAAACGTGCGGCCCTGCGTGCTGACACAGCAGCGGTGCCACTGGTGCCGTGGGCACAGGGTGCTGGAGGTGGCACGGCACCCATGGCCTGTGCATCTCTGCGGTGGCAACCACTTGCGTCCCGGGGCCAGCTCGAGGGCACCGCGCTCCTCCCGGACACGCCAGCTCTGCCATGTCCACAGGGAGCTCCGGGTGGCTGGAGAGATCCTGATCCGAGACCCCGGCATCCTGTCCCCACAGCGAGGTCAGCACCACCACAGCCCCTCTGGGCTGCAGTCAAACATTAACTGGGCAGCTCATTTACAAGGAGCTGGAGCAGCACTTGGAGAAAGCGGCACCCTGAGCAAAGGGCACACGGGGCAGTTTGGGAGCGCCTGGCTCCGCTCGCTGCTCCGGCCAAGCAAGAGCGGCCTCGATGACGAGCCGGGCACGTGGGCGAAGGAACGGGCAGCGCCGCTCATGCTGAGCCAGGCCCCGACACGCTGCAGGGTCGAGGGATGCCGGGATCCCTCTTGGAATTGCCCCGGATCAGGCGTACAGTGCGGCAGGGAGACGTGCTCCACTGCCCGATGAACCCCGGCAGCCTCCGGAAAGCATCCACAGCACCCACCTGGGGTGCTGCTTCCCTCCCAACAAACAGATTAAATTAGGATAAGGAAGAGCTACATGGGCAGGCTGGGGGAGAGGGGAGGGTGAAATAGGCTGGGACTCTGCACATCCTTCGCTGGCTCCAGCTGTGGAGGCTGGTGCTGAGACACGGCAGGTTTGCAAGGGAGCTCAGCTACGCTGTGCTGAGGTCCCGTTTTCCTGCCCAGAGGGATCAATGCAGCCAGCCAGGGGTGTCCATGAAAACCGCGGCCTCCATGGGAAAGTCACCGAAACCCAAGGAGGAAACCTGAGGTGCCCCCGTTGCACCATCCCCAACCTTCCAGCGCCACAAAGGGCCTTTCCCCAGCACTATTACAGCCTGCAACTGCAGGAACCAGCCCTATCCACTTCATTTCGGGCCAAAACCACACGTTTTGCTCAATGCCTAACTACTAGTCTTGCCTGCAGTCACGTCGGGACATGCGGACTCCGGGCTCTGCTCCAGAGCAGGAAACGGA